TTAAGAAACCCTCAACATAAATCGCCATCAACATAAAGCTTGCTGAACAAGACCACGAGCCTGGCAGTACGTATTCCAGCCGGGTTTTGTTTCTTAACCCACAACCCAGTTCGTTGGCCGACGACTTCACAATTATTACAATTGTAACACGTGGTCTTCTATATTTCCTGACTGAGACTCCATAGCGGAGCGTCTTCGAGTGGAAGACTTGATTGATTTATTCTTTTACTAGCAGCATGGCGTGTGCTTGATTCAAAAATCGTACGACTTATACAGCAATCGCTATCACTTGACTTAAAATATTTTTACCCTTCTTTGCTTTTAAATGAGTGCCCTTTGCCGTTGCTACATGCCTTACTTCTTGCCTATCTCACACTGCGAATTTTTTCTAAGCTCTATACTAAACATTAAATCTGTTACGAGAAAAGAACTAAACAAAATGAATACAAAACGATCAGCTTTAAAAAAGGACTCGTAACTGGAAAAACCGAATGAAAAAAGAATGTTAACAACAAATAGTTTTTCACATCCAACCCAGTTCTGCGGAATCAGAATCAACGTTGAGTTTAAACAAGCGAATCAGCCAATTGGAGTAAAGAGCCATGCAGAATTACATTTTCCCACTTGTGACGAATGCAGCTATCGAATTTTTTTGCATGCTAGCATGCTAGTTAACATTCGTGTCAGTCAGCTGTTGGCTCTCACGCTGGCCTATAGAATCTTCCTGCCTATTCGTGGCAGCCAGCTATTGGCTCTCACTCTGACCAGTAGAAAATGGCCGCAAACTACATGAAAACTGCCATAGAAGCATGAAAATATCGATTATTTCCACTATCGATGGGAATTGGCAAATGCCAAGTCGGTCTTGGCCTTCCCTCTAACTTGGAGCATGTGCATGTGAATTTTGGTGTAAATCCGTTGAAAATTGCGGGCGTGCATTCGTTACACACACACACACACACACATCCTGCTTTATACATACATACATACATATATATATATATAATCGATAATTTTTAATAAAACGATATTATTTAATACATAATAAAAATATATTCAAATGATTCTAATCTTAAATGGTGTTATGCTTTGAGCGAAAATCTAACGTAGTAGAAATTTGAAATTTCTGATGGCTTTTTGTCTGATGATTAAAACGTACGTTCAATATTTTTGTTGAACATCTGTTACTGACGAGCTTTTTGACACTAAAATCTGAAGTTGGTCAAAAAATCAATTGCCCTTTTCTCGACTTATTGAACATATATATATATATATATATATATATATATATATATATATATATATATATATATATATATAATAGGAAAAGAACAATGAGATTTATAATTCAGAGTTCTTAGCATATTTTATTTAAAAAGAAACAGTGCTTGATACAACCTTATAGCATAATATTATAATTGTTTTTTTAAATATATTATCATCGCAACATCGAAATTCCCATGTTTCAAAACTGAAACTTAATTTCAAATTCAATCATAAAAATTAAACTTAAAATACAAAGTACTGTTTCATTATCAAGCGATGCCAAGTATAACTTTTTAGAAATTGATTTATAAGTCCAGACAAATTTGATATTTTGAGATGTTGGGGTTAAGGAAAATTTAATCTTTTTTATTTTTATATTAGAGGTGTTAAGACTTAACTTATTTAGAAAACTCATGTATCTAATGTATTGTAGCTATCCAGTTGGTCAAGTCAAGTTAGAGGCTGTGGTATTTGACTATTGATACAAACTTCCTATTTCCAATTACCAGTTTGTGATAGTGTCTATGTTCCAACACATCTTCTGGGTTTCAATATCTATCTATCTATCTATCTATCTATCTATCTATCTATATATATATATATATATATATATATGTGTGTGTGTGTGTGTGTGTGTGTGTGTGTGTGTGTGTGTGTGTGTGTGGAATTGGGTGTGTTTGTGCGTACCATGCGTGCGTGCGTGCTTTATAGTTAGTACTGTTTATAGAAGGACACATGTTCTTTTATTCGCTCCTACATAAGACGTTATTTTTTACCAATATGAAAATGCGTCATTCCTCTTTTCATTTCTGGGATGAAGAGTTATCATCATTTACATTATTTACAGCAGGACAGTTACCCTCTTCTTTGTTGTTATTAGCACAACGTTTCAACCATCCTGCCTTCCGACCTTCATCAGCTGATTGTCGATCCGGGTAACCTTCTGAGAATTTCTAACTAAACACTTTCTTTAACCTAACGTAGCGTAGATTGTCCTCGCTCCGCTGTCTCGGGATACCTCGTTTTGTTCTTATTTAATACTACTTAGATATCTTCACAGTGTTTAAGCCTATACAACACGGTCCACTACTTGCGAGTTCAATCCATGTACTGGATCGGGCAGGCGTAATAGAAAGAGATGAGGACAATATTCTGAGAGCAAATAATGATCCTCTATGAAAGAAATTATAAAATCTCCTACAGGTAGCAAGGAAGAGTGAGAAGAAAGGACTAAGCATAAACTACAAGAAGACAGAAAGCATAGTCATCAGTAAAAGGGTGAGCCCGAAATGCGATTTGCAGTTCGGGGACACTAAAATCAAGCAGACGCAGAAGTTTAAATACCTAGGAAGCGTCTTGACAGAGGACGGTAAGTGCGACACTGAGATCTGTAGGCGTATTGGGATGGCCAATGACACATTTCAAAAGCTGGGCAGAGTACTGCAAGACAGGAGGATATCTTTGGTAACAAAGAAAAGAAGTCTAAACTGTTACGTGACATCAGTTCTTCTTTACGAGAACGAATGTTGGACGATTTCCTCAAGGATGGAGAAGAGACTCGAGGCGACGGAGATGTGGTTCTACAGAAGGATGCTAAGGATATCATGGACCGTGCATGTGAGCAACGGTGAGATCTTAGAGAGGTTGCAAGACAAGGAGGACGCTTATACGTAATATCAGGAAGAGACAGGTGAAGTTTCTGGGACACAGAAAGGAGGGCCTGGAAAAACTAATACTCACAGGTCGAATAGAGGGAAAGAGAAACAAGGGAAAACAGCGCGTGACATACCTAGCGGGCTTAAGTAAGTGGATGACCTAACGTGGTCTGGGGGAGGGAGCTGGGGGAAGGAACTTGTTGAGAGTTGCAAGGGATAGAGTGAGGTGGAGAGCCATGATCGCCTACGTCCTGAAAGGAAATGGCACATAAAAAAAGTAGAGAGAAATGAAATGATAGAGATTTTTTAAAAAAATATGGAGGAATATAGTTTAATTCACAAGAAGAGTGATGACTAAAAGGTGGAAGCGAATAAAATTATTTGAGCAAACTGAAAAATAAAACGATAGAGTAAATCGAGCCGAGAACAATGAAGTCAAGATGAGATTTATTAAGAATCGATTGACTCGAAGACATTTTTGGAAGGCGGATAAAGAAGCGATTGAAATAATAATAACAGATAGATACTAGCAAACTAATAATATTGAAAATAAAAAAAAACGCAGAATAGACAGAAAAAAATAATGTGTTTGGTGGATCCATAAGTTTATATTGAACGAAGAGAAAAGAAATGAAGTGAAAAAATAAGCTACCTCGAAGAAAAAAAAAAATTGAAGAAATGTTTATACTTATGCATCATGTGACATTTGAAGATCTAATTTTGATGCTAATTTTAAGAGGGTCGCATCATACACGAGATATAAAATTCTCCTATGTACTGTTGGCTCTGGATACGCCGTTGACTAAACTATATATTCGTTTACTGTAGTCAAATTAGTTTCAAAATTAGTTCTTCAAAGTTCACATGATACACAAATATATACGGTATATATATCCTATTCTAATTGTACTGGTCCCTTCATTAGTTAGTACGACCGTTACGTCCTGTCATTTCCTCATAAATAAAGGACTATTCCGCGTTATGGTCGCGTGGAAGGAGGGAAAAACAATACTTAGTTTCAGTGAGATAATGAAATAAAAATATATATGAATCCACGTATTCTCCTTCCAATTACTGGTCAGACAGGGCTCCCTAGCTTTAGTTGGCAACCAGTCTAGGATAAAGACATATCTGAATGACTGGATCATGTGACTTTTGAAGCTAATTTTAAGGGGATCGCATCATACACGAGATATAAAATTAGCGCATTGCTGTCTCTGGCTACGCCGTTGACTATATATCCATTTACGGTAGTTAAATTAGCTTCAAAATTAGGTCTTCAAAGGTCGCATGATACGCGAGTATATAGGGGAGTAGTAAAACGAAATTAAAGAAATTTTCGAAGACACAGAGAAAAAGAAATAAAAAGTAGGGAAAGAAAGAAAAATAGGGGAAGAAATTTTTATGAAGAACAAATAATCTGCAATAAATAAATAAATAAATAAATAAAATGTTGACCATTATCTACTTTCTTTATTCTTCTTCTATTATTGTTCACGTTACTTAATAATATTTCTCTTTTTTTTATTCTTTCAAAATGAGTAACACCTTGTGTCGTAGTGGCTTTACTGCCTTACTTGGGGCGAAATTATTTTTTAAAAATTAAATGAATAAATAAAAAAATAAATATGTTAAAGCACGAAGAAAGTACGTAAATACACGAAGAAAGAAAGAAGGCAGAAAGAAAGAAAGGAATGATCGAAAGAAAGACTAAATAATTAAAGAAAAAAAGAAAGAAAGAAAGAAAGAAAGAAAGAAAGAATGAAGGAAATAATAAGGAATAAATAAATAAATAAATAAAGAAAGAAAGAATAAATAAATAAATAAATAAATAAAGAAAGAAAGAAAGAAAGAAAGAAAGAAAGAAAGAAAAAAGAAAGAAAGCAGAATTTAGATGCCGACAAAGGAAATAAATGGAGATTAAAGTAAGCGATCATCGAGAAGGAAAAGAAGGAAGTGGAAAAGCTAATAAAAGAGAAAGAAAATAGAAACGAAGAAACTCGATAAAAGTGAGCGCAGAATAAATAAAAAAGAAAAAGAAAGAAAAATATAGGAAGGTAAATATTTATGAAGGAAAAA